TGTCATGAAACTTCAAATGTTGACACGGGCAACATGAATGTCATGAAACCTATTGTTGATTGCAAAGGTGACATGAATTGTATTGCATTTTCACTTCGTGATTTTAAAATTATCACTTGTTTTGTCTTGTAAACTGAAGGGAAGGTGTAGACAGAGTTCCATCTGCCCACCCTGACATCACTTGTTTTATCTTGTACACCATGGTGAAGGTGTAGAGACAGTGGTGTCCTCACATAAGAACTACATCCCAAAGTACTACAGCTTAAAACAACACATGTTATGGTCCAGTGCACAGATTAACTACATGCTGTCACCTGCGTCTGTTTAATGGATTTGTCCAACACAAAACAAATAAAACATGTGCCCAGACTGATTTATCTCGTACACTGAAGGTGTAGAAACAGTTTAATGTGCCCACCCTGACATCACTTGTTTTGTCTTGTACACTGAAGGTGTAGGGACAGTTGAATGTCCCCACCCTGACATCAATTGTTTTATCTTGTACACTGAAGGTGTAGACACAGTTCAATGTGGCCACCCTGACATCACTTGTTTTATCTCGTACACTTAAGGTGTAGAGACAGTTGAATGTGCCCCCCCCTGACATCACTTGTTTTATCTTGTGCACTGAAGGTGTAGAAACAGTTTAATGTGCCCACCCTGACATCACTTGATTTATCTTGTACACTTAAGGTGTAGAGACAGTTGAATGTGCCCACCCTGACATCACTTGATTTATCTTGTACACTTAAGGTGTAGAGACAGTTGAATGTGCCCACCCTGACATCACTTGTTTTATCTTGCACCGACACAGCTGAATGTGGCCACCCTGACATCACTTGTTTTATCTTGTACCGACACAGTTGAATGTGCCCACCCTGACATCACTTGTTTTATCTTGTACACTGAAAGTGTAGGGACAGTTGAATGTGGCCACCCTGACATCACTTGTTTTATCTTGTACACTGAAGGTGTAGAGACAGTTGAATGTGCCCACCCTGACATCACTTGCTTTATCTCGTACACTGAAGGTGTAGACACAGTTCAATGTGGCCACCCTGACATCACTTGTTTTATCTTGTACACCGAAGGTGTAGGGACAGTTGAATGTGGCCACCCTGACATCACTTGTTTTATCTTGAGTGAGTGAGTGAGTGAGTTTGATTTTACGCCGCTTTTAGCAATATTCCAGCAATATCACGGCGGGGGACACCAGAAATGGGCTTCAAACATTTTACCCATGTGGGGAATCGAACCCGGGCCTTCGGCGTGACGAGCGAACGCTTTACCCACTAGGCTTCCCCACCGCCCCTGTTTTATCTTGAACACTGGAGGTGTAGGGACAGTTCAATGTGCCCACCTTGACATTACAGTACCTTCGTGTGCTATCCAGCTGCAGGCCCGCTGTGGCCACAACTTAGATTACCCCGTAATATCTGTATTACCCCACTACGACATAAAGGCGACCGATCGCCAAGTGGTTTGTTTAAACACATACGATGTAATGCTCGTAATCGTGAAATATTGGATTGATTGATAATTTCAATATTATATTGAATTATTGTATTCGAGTTCGCAGACTAATATACACTTGTTCGAGCTATCTTTGTATCTATATGTATCGAATGCCTTGTTATAGCTGTATGTGACCAACGTTTGCCTAGGTGAATATAAAAACTACTGTCTACTTTAGCGATCTGTGACAACTGTCCACCTTCGTGTAACGATCTGTGACTATTGTCTACCTTCGTGTAACGATCTGTGACAACTGTTCAACTTCATTTAACGATCTGTGATAACTGTCTACCTTCGTGTAACGATCCGTGACTACTGTCTACCTTCGTGTAACGATCTGTGACAACTGTTCAACTTCATGTAACGATCTGGGACAACTGTCTACCTTCGTGTAACGATCCGTGACTACTGTCTACCGTGATACTATCTCCTAATTAGGTGACACTATCTCCTAATTAGGACTTAATATATCCTAATTATGACTTAGTTATCTCCTAATTAGGTGATACTATCTTGGGATTACACTTTCTTAGTAAAGTACAAATTCTAGTTCTTTTGTTGGGTTTCAAACCACACCCTCAGACTCAGGCACCTAATGGCCAGCGGTGGCTTGAAGTCGCGGTGGCTGAGCCGGCTGACTTTGTGTGCTGGCGATTGGATGCCTGACTCTGGGTTCGAATCCCTGATGGGACTCAACCCAACAAAATTACTAGAATTTGTACTTTACTAAGAAAGTGTAATCCCAAATATAACATATGTTATAGAAGAATCAGGACAAATATGTTGTTACAAGCTTATGCATTTGAAATGCCTACAAGAGGGATTCGCTGTCAGTCAAGACACGGTGCGTCTTTGCTGCATTTAGTAGTGGTAGAAATAAGAGTATCAGAATACCCAACGCCAATGACGTCACCTGCTCATTATTATTTATCCACAGTGTCGCATAATCCATATAATCTATGAGATCAACAGTCACATTTTTTCACATCGTCATGTAAGAATGCTCTGTCATATAAACACAGCCCTTACTGTCCTACGAATCTGTGACAGGGTGCATACATAAGTCTTCCCAACTGAACAGAAGGCTGCCCCAGGTTTATACATAGTTTTACATATCGTGTAATATCTGTCCACTTGTATCCAATAATATATTTCAAGTCTTGGCCTGTGCACACACGCCTGGCTATGTACAACAGACGTGACCTGTATAACTAGGTCAGTGGGTTAGTAGGCCTACCTTTTAATTGGTCTTGCACAACTATATTGTAAACCATGTTTATAAAAACAAACAAAACGTAATCACTAAGTTATACAGTCATTTTTACACGTGCAATCACAACAATTAATTCAATAGTAGTTCCATTAGCATTTCCCATATTACCCCATTTTATGCACTGATATTTGGTCGTTTCCCTTCAATGACAAGCGATATCTTCCCGAAGATGGTGTAACCAGTCTGGCCTATGGTCATTGGAGAATCAGAGAACAGCCAATGAATGGAGGTGTGAATAGCCCAGAACCTTGTTGTTCTGTCACTGACTTTTGGAGGAGAAACATCAAGATGAATATCTGTTCTTTGTGTGGAAATACTTATACATGGTCTTATGATTTGAAGACTGACTGACTGAGTTTGGTTTTACGCCGCTTTTAGCAATATTCCAGCAACATCATGGCGGGGGACACCAGAAATGGGCTTCACACATTGTACCTATGTGGGGATTCGAACCCGGGTCTTTGGAGTGACGAGCCAACGCTTTAACCACTAGGCTACCCCACCGCCCCTATGATTTGAAGAGACACATGAGAGTCAAACATTCTGATGAATGCCAAAATGTGGTTCCACTGACGCTGATGACGACGCAGACGCAGCCGTAGCAGCCGCAGACACAGCACCACCACCACCACTACCACCACACACACAAACACATACCACCACACACCGCCACACACCACCACACCACCACCACCCACCACCATCACCACCATCACCATCACCCACCACCAGCCACCACCACATACCACAACACACCACAATCACCAACACACACCACCAGACACCACCACATGGTAGAGAGATGTGTAAAGTGTATTTGTATATTTCAAGAGATATCTGTATATAGATTGTAAAGGTGGATTGGGGAGGCTCTCCGACCTAGCACGGGGATATTAAATATTGTGTATAAAAGTTGTATGTTGTCATTGTTTATTTCGCTCTATAAATTTGCATTTTCGCAGGCATGTGTCATTACACAAACGGACGACTTGAGTTTTTCAACATGGCGTCGGCCATGCTATAGAGGAAACAAGGGGGATTCCCCCTCGTGACGTCATTAGTGTGGTAGCCTCTCACATTCAGGGAAGCTACCCGATCTCTATGGAAGTACATGCGGTTGGGTGTTCTTGTACTCTCATTTCTGCCACTACTAAATGCAGCAAATGAAGCACCATGTCTTGACTGATAATGAATCCCTCTTGTATGCATTTCAGATACATAAGCTTGTAAGCACACATTTGTCCTGATTCTTCTACCTCTTTCACTACGGTCTCTCGCCGTGATATTGCTGGAAGCGGCGTAAAACCATACTCACTCACGTTCACTACGAACATAGCAACTTCTGCAATATCACTATTATGTCTTCGCCTAAACAGATTCAGTCGTTTTGATTTCCTTTTCAAAGTCTTCATGCTGATAATGATGCCATTTACATGGGCCAAACAAGACACAATTTCTGAATACTGCATGCCCAACATGAAACAAATGTATATGTTTTCATCAATGATTTCATCCAAGATGCTAAACCCAAACAGGAGACTGACTGACTGACTGAGTTTAGTTTTACGCCACTTTTAGCAATATTCCAGCAATATCACGGCGGGGGACACCAGAAATGGGCTTAACACATTGTGCCCATGTGGGGAATCGAACCCGGGTCTTCGGCGTGACCACTAGGCTACCCCACCGCCCCTGATTTTTTCATACATATTTATAAGATCCTTAAGTCCTAATTAGGAGATATTAAGTCCTAATTAGGATATATTAAGTCCTAATTAAGAGATAGTATCACCTAATTAGGAGATAGCTAAGTCCTAATTAGGATATATTAAGTCCTAATTAGGAGATAGTATCACCTAATTAGGAGATAGCTAAGTCCTAATTAGGAGATAAAAAAAGTTCTGACTGTGGCACTAGGACGCTTCCTTAGTTTTCGAATATATGATTCGACAGTGTATTTATTTTAAAGGAAAGGCATGGCGACATTCAAAATGATCAAAACCGTAAACCGTAAAAAATATTTGGTGAGTAATGAGTTGAATACACGTTGTCACTCAGACGATGCCTTTCATGAGTGATACTATGAACGTGTACGTGCACGTGGGTATTATCTTTATGGTGATCACTCAGCCACTTACTCACTCACTCACTCACGCGGATTGATCGAAGAATTTTGAAAGGATGAAACTTTTGATGTACATTTGCTTTACAGAACAATCTGGACACGGCGTTCGATGCTGGAGGGACCGTGAACGCCGGACTGACTGCTACAACGATCGTCTCCCAGTGGACGTGGGCCGCTACACTGCTGCAGTCGTCCACAGTCGCCAGTAAAGTAAGACGCCGACAGCGCTTCATATGCACTGTGTAAAACGCGATGGTGATCGTAATCACGCCATGACTTGTCCCTGTGTTATTCAATAACAACATTTAATGATTTCTTTTTGGTGACGGAGCCGGACTGCTATTACCGAAGCAATTTGTAGAAGTAAAATCAATAACGAAATCCTACTTAAACAGAGGTCCGTGTTAATATATCCCTTCTGGTAGTGTTTGAAACTGTGTTCGTTAGTCTGTTTACATGCATTACTTTCAGTACAACATCAGTGAACCCTTCTGGTAGTGTTTGACACTGTGTTCGTTAGTCTGTTTACATGCATTACTTTCAGTACAACATCAGTGAACCCTTCTGGTAGTGTTTGACACTGTGTTCGTTAGTCTGTTTACATGCATTACTTTCAGTACAACATCAGTGAACCCTTCTGGTAGTGTTTGACACTGTGTCCGTTAGTCTGTTTACATGCATTACTTTCAGTACAACATCAGTGAACCCTTCTGGTAGTGTTTGACACTGTGTTCGTTAGTCTGTTTACATGCATTCCTTCCAGTACAACATCAGTGAACCCTTCTGGTAGTGTTTGACACTGTGTTCGTTAGTCTGTTTACATGCATTACTTTCAGTACAACATCAGTGAACCCTTCTGGTAGTGTTTGACACTGTGTTCGTTAGTCTGTTTACATGCATTACTTCCAGTACAACATCAGTGAACCCTTCTGGTAGTGTTTGACACTGTGTTCGTTAGTCTGTTTACTTTCATTACTTCCAGTACAACATCAGTGAACCCTTCTGGTAGTGTTTGACACTGTGTTCGTTAGTCTGTTTACATGCATTACTTTCAGTACAACATCAGTGAACCCTTCTGGTAGTGTTTGACACTGTGTTCGTTAGTCTGTTTACATGCATTACTTTCAGTACGACATCAGTGGACCCTTCTGGTAGTGTTTGACACTGTGTTCGTTAGTGTGTGTGCTTGCAATGCTTTCAGTACTTTCATATTATGATTTATAAAACCCTTTCGAAAATTGTTTAAGAAGACTTTCAATAGCAAACGAAGAGCATACTTTGATGTATAAAAAGAGAAACTTACTGCTGCAAGAGACAACCTATAGAAACTTTGGAAAACATTAGAGCAATCAGGTTCAACCTCAGATTGTGACACTACGAATGATGTAAGCAGTGAAGACTGGTTCAATCACTTCTCAGGGCTTGCAACTGAGAACTCTGATAATGTGTATGACTGTGATATCAATTCAGAAATTATCAAGGATGAAGAGCTAAAAAACATTAAATTGTCACATTACTGAAAACGAAGTCGAATTTAACAGTGTTGTTTAACAAGATTTTTCAAGATGGTATATTTCCTGTGTTTTGGGGTAAGGGCATCATTTGTGCCTTTTAAAAATCTGGTGTAAAAGGTAACCCCAATAATTATGGAGGTATCTCTCCTATTGATTCTGTGTGTAAAATATTCACTTCCATTCTCAATAGTAGGTGAAAGGTATGGTGTGAGAAGAATAATATTATTCATTAATCTCAGGCAGGCTTCAGGACTATTTACTCTACTACTACTACTATTTTCTCACTTCAAGCTATGGTACAGAACTATATATTTTCTCTTTTCAGAACTTATCAAAATATCTCTTTGAATGTGGCATCTACTATATTTGACAGCAAAATTGCACCGATTCTGCTTTATGGTGCAGAAATATGGGGGTTTACCTATCGTGCAAACGTTGAAAAATTACAAACTTATTTCAAAAGATATCTTCGTGTTAGCAAAACTGTATCTTCAAATATTGTACTCGGTGAAACAGGTAGAAGCCATCTTTGTGTACAGTATTTCACCCGTTGTATAAAGTACTGGTGTAGACTCCTGAATATGGAAAGTGTTCGTATTCCAAAGGCATGCTATGAGATGTTAAAAACATGCGACGACAATGGTGGTCGCAATTGGGTATCCCATGTACGTTTACTTTTATTTCACTCTGGGTTTTCTTTTGTGTGGTTATCGCAAGATTGTGGCGATGTAACAAGTTTTATAAGTGTTTTTAAACAGAGATGTAAAGATATAGATATACAGAATTGGTATGCAAAATCACTTCTTCATCATTCTTAAATCATTACTCGTCATATAAATCTGTACTTGAACCGGAAAAATATATATCAGAGTTTTGCTATGATAAAGATCTCTTACGAGTTTTATTTAAATTCAGATGCATGAGTCATAAACTTAAAATTCAACACAACCGTTTTAATAAGGTAAATGCTGATTCCATTAAATGTGATAAATGTAATTGTAATTTGATACAAGATGAGTATCATTTCTTACTCGTATGTCCATTTTATTCACAACAACGCTCTTTGTACATTCCTGATTTTTATATTATATCTCCAACCAGATCAAAGTTTACCCAGCTGCTTGCAACAAAGAATGTAAAACTCCTAAAAAATATTGCAATTTATCTTAAACTATATTTACCTGTATAAATTGTAAATTGTTGTCCTGACCATGTTCTATATTTTGCATATTGAATTGTACTTTTGGTCATGTGGCCATAAATACTGAATAAAGCTCTTCTTCTTCTTCTTCTTCTATTCATGAAAAAGACAGGAAGGTGTTATTGTCTGTTTATAGATTTTTCAAATGCATTTGATACAGTCAATCATAAAATATACACTCCCAAAAAAGAAACGCGTCATGAAAATAGCAATTTCATGTAGCAATGAATTAAAACGTGATTCATTTTACAAAAGGTTTTGCTCTGTTTATGAGTCCTATGGTGTTTATGTTTTGAAACATCACAACAAAACGCACCATCCGTAAAATACCCGTATTTAACAGCATGATTTTCAGTTTCGGCGTGTAGTGTCACAGAATACACACTTCACATGCAATGCACGTGGAAGTTGGGATCAGATAGTCTCAGTGATGGGTATAAAAGGTTGATCGCTGTCTGTCGATTATTCACTGTATTTGTTATATTATTGACGAACGCAAAATGCCACGTCTAAGTGAAGCTAACCGTCATATCGCCATTGGTTTGCTTGAAGCTGGTCAGTCTCAACGTGCAGTTGCCCGACGCATGAATGTTCAGCAAAGCACCATTTCACGGCTCTGGGAGAGATATCGCCGGCAGAATTCGGTAGCAGATGCCCCTCGTAGTGGGCGACCTCGAGCGACCACTGCGGCGCAAGATTGCTACATCCAGGTACATCACCTGCGTCATCGAACAGCTACGGCGACCAGTACCGCTCGACAAATACCCGGACTGAGGAGGCTTTCTGCACAGACAGTCAGGAACAGGTTGACAGAGGCTGGTTTACGTGCCAGAAGACCTTATTTTGGCCCTCTGCTTCGACAACAACATCGATGACATCGAGTTCAATGGTGCACCAACGTTCAGGCCTGGAACCTACCGAATTGGCGTAGAATCTGGTGCAGTGATGAATCACGATTTCGATTGGAACGACGCGATGGAAGAATGCGGGTGTACAGACGTCGACGTGAACGCTTCGCCCACGCTTGCGTTCCCCAGGTGGACAGATTCGGCCGGGACAGTGTTATGATGTGGGGAGCGATCACCTGCCGTAGGAGAAGTGATTTGGTGATGATCCAGGGCAACCTGACAGCTCAACGGTACTGTGACGAAATCATACGCCCACACCTCCTCCCAATCATTGATCGCCAGAGGGAGTTGTTTCAACAGGACAGTGCCAGGCCCCACACAGCACGTCACACTAGAGACTTCCTCCAGAACCACAACATCAATGTGCTACCCTGGCCCTCAAGATCACCGGACTTAAACCCGATCGAACATCTGTGGGATGCCCTGGACAGACGGGTGCGACGCCTTAACCCTCAGCCCCAGACACTTCAGCAACTCGCACAGGCACTACAGGCAGAGTGGGCTGCGATTGGGCAACATGAGACTCTGAGACTTATTCGTTCGATGCCGAGGCGATGCCGTGCAGTTCTGGATGCCCACGGTGGTCACACGAGGTATTGACTTCAGCGCCACCACACGTCTCCATGTGACACTCAAACTGACTTTCCTCGAGTTGGTGCCAAAGACGGATAAGTCTGCATTCCCAGTGTGCAATTTCGCTATATTTCATTGACTCATAAAGCCTACAAGATGTTTCAAAATAAACATAAAACTACAGTTGTCCTAGACAGGGCTGCATGTTTATTATCGTTATTAATCAGCTTATGGAAAGTATGGAGCAGGTTGGTGTCCGTGGTATATTTATTACACCTGATGTTAATAATCTATATCTCTAATGTTTGCGGGTGATGTGTCCTCAGTCTCGGATACTGCTTTCCAGCTCCAGAAGATTCATGGTCTTGGGAATTTTTGTCAACTTACTGGTATGAAGGTCAATGTTGAAAAGACTAAAGTTATTGTTTTCAGGAATAGTGGGCTCCTTAGACAGTATGAAAAGTTGTTTCTTAATGGTCAAAGGCTGGAAGTTGTCTCATACTACAGGTATTTGGGCATTGTGTTCACTCCAAGGCTAGTATAGACTAAAGCTTAGACTACTCTTTCTTCTCAAGCCAATATAACCCTTATGGCTATCTATAGATACCTAAAAAGAGTAGGTTATTTGTCATCTGCGGATCTTTTCAAAATATATGATGCTATGCTTAACGTTTTCTTTGTTACGGTTCAGAAATTTGGGGTGTAACGCATTGTAAAATCATTGAACAAATCTAGCTAAAAACATGTAAATGTTTCTTAAATGCTGGCAAAAATGCTTGTAACAATAGGTTCTTGGTGAATGTGGCAGATTCCCTCTTCAACTTACTCATAGGTCAAGGGCAGTTACATATTGGTGTAGACTTTTAACTCTTCCAAGTTGTAGATTACCTCATCAGTTTTATTTAATGTTAAAGTCTTTGGATGAATCGGGTCGCACGACATCGACATCGAGATTGTCTGATAATCTTTCACAAGATTGGTACTCATCGCTACATAATACAACCAGGTGTTCTAATTATATACTTTTGAAGTCCCTCCTAAATGTTTAAAAGTTTCTCAGTTTAGATATTGCTTTGTTTAGATATTGTTTGACAAAATTTAGATGTGGTAATTTTAAACTTAGTTTTGAGGCCGGTAGATATAACAGTCCATTATGATTCAAGATTTTGTCCTTTTTGCCTAAAAACTAATCTTAACTTAATTGAAGATGAAATACATGTTTTACTTTGTTGTAAAGCCTACCTAGATATAAGGAATAAAAGTCTGGATAAACATTTTAAACATCCTAGGAACACAGTTTTGCCAACAAAACGCCTTCAACAAACATAAATGTTATAAAGAAATTATGCCTATTGTTTATATAATGTTGGGAAATACTATTCTGATGTTTTTCTGTAAAAAGCATGCAACTTCATGCAAAATATCTATCTACGAATGTATTTTGGGCCAGTGGCCTATTACTAAATAAGATGTCTGTCTGTCTTGCAGTACGGCATCAGTGGACCCTTCTGGTACGCGGCAGGCGCCACAATCCAGATCCTGTTGTTTGCAACCCTGTCTGTGCAGCTGAAGATTCGGGCGCCTGGAGCCAAGACCTTCCTTCAGTTGATCAGGGCGCGCTTTGGAGTGAGGACTCACAAGGTGTTTTGTGCCTTCGCTCTCACCACAAACATCATCGTCACAGCCATGCTTATGCTAGGTAATACTTCCTTGTTGTACGATATCTCTCCTATAATGATATAAATGTGATATAGTACCTCTTTGTTCGCGTAGTTCCAAAGCCACGGTCCGACTGGAGATCATTACTGACACATACACTCCAAACACAGGTGGCGCTGCCGTCATCACGAGCCTGGTCAAGGACATCAGTCTGGAGTACGCAACAACCCTGGTGGCCATCACTATCGGCAGCTACACCTTTATCGGAGGGCTCGGGGCGACGTTCTACGTCAGCTACTTCAACACCGCCATCATCTACATCGTTATGATCGTCTTCCTTCTTAAGGTGTACGGGGATGACTCTCCCGACAACCCACTCGGTAAAAACAGTGGCCGCGAGGCTGTTAGCACTTATCATACCTGTAAATATATACAAGCTTGGACTGGTCTGACGGCAAACTGTCCTGTAGTAGTGAGGATGTTTGGTTGCAGGGTCAGCCCAGACGGTGTACACCCTGTTGTCGTGTAGTAGTGAGGATGTTTGGTTGCAGGGTCAGCCCAGAAGGTGTTCACCCTGTTGTCGTGTAGTAGTGAGGATGTTTGGTTGCAGGGTCAGCCCAGAAGGTGTACACCCTGTTGTCGTGTAGTAGTGAGGACGTTTTGTTGCAGGGTCAGCCCAGAAGGTGTACACCTTGTTGTCGTGTAGTAGTGAGGATGTTTGGTAGCAGGGTCAGCCCAGAAGGTGTACACCCTGTTGTTCTGTAGTAGTGAGGATGTTTGGCTGCAGGGTCAGCCCAGAAGGTGTACGCCCTGTTGTCGTGTAGTAGTGAGGATGTTTGGTTGCAGGGTCAGCCCAGAAGGTGTACACCCTGTTGTCGTGTAGTAGTGAGGATGTTGGTTGCAGGGTCAGCCCAGAAGGTGTGCACCCTGTTGTCCTGTAGTAGTGGGGATGTTTGGTTGCAGGGTCAGCCCAGAAGGTGTACGCCCTGTTGTCGTGTAGTAGTGAGAATGTTTGGTTGCAGGGTCAGCCCAGAAGGTGTACGCCCTGTTGTCGTGTAGTAGTGAGGATGTTTGGTTGCAGGGTCAGCCCAGAAGGTGTATACCCTGTTGTCGTGTAGTAGTGGGGATGTTGGTTGCAGGGTCAGCCCAGAAGGTGTGCACCCTGTTGTCCTGTAGTAGTGGGGATGTTTGGTTGCAGGGTCAGCCCAGAAGGTGTACACCCTGTTGTCGTGTAGAAGTGAGGATGTCTGATTGCAGGGTCAGCCCAGAAGGTGTGCACCCTGTTGTCGTTTAGTAGTGAGGATGTCTCATTGCAGGGTCAACCCAGAAGGTGTAAGCCCTGTTGTCGTGTAGTAGTGGGGATGTTTGGTTGCAGGGTCAGCCCAGAAGGTGTACACCCTGTTGTCGTGTAGTAGTGAGGATGGTTGGTTGCAGGGGTCAGCCCAGAAGGTGTACACCCTGTTGTCGTGTAGTAGTGGGGATGTTTGGTTGAAGGGTCAGCCGAGAAGGTGTACACCCTGTTGTCGTGTAGTAGTGAGGATGTTTGGTTGCAGGGTCAGCCCAGAAGGTGTACACCCTGTTGTCGTGTAGAAGTGAGGATGTCTGATTGCAGGGTCAGCCCAGAAGGTGTACACCCTGTTGTCGTGTAGTAGTGAGAATGTTTGGTTGTAGGGTCAGCCCAGAAGGTGTACACCCTGTTGTCGTGTAGTAGTGAGGATGTTTGGTTGCAGGATGAGCCCAGAAGGTGTACACCCTGTTGTCGTGTAGTAGTGAGGATGTTTGGTTGCAGGGTCAGCCAAGAAGGTGTACACCCTGTTGTCGTGTAGTAGTCAGGATGTTTGGTTGCAGGGTCAGCCCAGAAGGTGTACACCCTGTTGTCCTGTTGTAGTGAGGATGTTTGATTGCAGGGTCATCCCAGAAGGTGTACATCCTATTGTCCTGTAGTAGTGAGGATGTTTGATTGCAGGGTCATCCCAGAAGGTGTACACCCTGTTGTCGTGTAGTAGTGGGGATGTTTGATTGCAGGGTCATCCCAGAAGGTGTACATCCTGTTGTCCTGTTGTAGTGAGGATGTCTGATTGCAGGGTCATCCTAGAAGGTGTACACCCTGTTGTCGTGTAGTAGTGAGGATGTTTGGTTGCAGGGTCAGCCCAGACGGTGTACACCCTGTTGTCGTGTAGTAGTGAGGATGTTTGGTTGCAGGGTCAGCCCAGAAGGTGTTCACCCTGTTGTCGTGTAGTAGTGAGGATGTTTGGTTGCAGGGTCAGCCCAGAAGGTGTACACCCTGTTGTCGTGTAGTAGTGAGGACGTTTTGTTGCAGGGTCAGCCCAGAAGGTGTACACCTTGTTGTCGTGTAGTAGTGAGGATGTTTGGTTGCAGGGTCAGCCCAGAAGGTGTACACCCTGTTGTTCTGTAGTAGTGAGGATGTTTGGCTGCAGGGTCAGCCCAGAAGGTGTTCGCCCTGTTGTCGTGTAGTAGTGAGGATGTTTGGTTGCAGGGTCAGCCCAGAAGGTGTACACCCTGTTGTCATGTAAGTAGTGGGATGTTGGTTGCAGGGTCAGCCCAGAAGGTGTGCACCCTGTTGTCCTGTAGTAGTGGGGATGTTTGGTTGCAGGGTCAGCCCAGAAGGTGTACGCCCTGTTGTCGTGTAGTAGTGAGGATGTTTGGTTGCAGGGTCAGCCCAGAAGGTGTACGCCCTGTTGTCGTGTAGTAGTGAGGATGTTTGGTTGCAGGGTCAGCCCAGAAGGTGTACACCCTGTTGTCGTGTAGTAGTGGGGATGTTGGTTGCAGGGTCAGCCCAGAAGGTGTGCACCCTGTTGTCCTGTAGTAGTGGGGATGTTTGGTTGCAGGGTCAGCCCAGAAGGTGTACGCCCTGTTGTCGTGTAGTAGTGAGGGTGTTTGGTTGCAGGGTCAGCCCTGAAGGTGTACACCCTGTTGTCGTGTAGTAGTGAGGATGTTTGGTTGCAGGGTCAGCCCAGAAGGCGTACACCCTGTTGTCGTGTAGAAGTGAGGATGTCTGATTGCAGGGTCAGCCCAGAAGGTGTGCACCCTGTTGTCGTGTAGTAGTGAGGATGTCTCATTGCAGGGTCAACCCAGAAGGTGTACACCCTGTTGTCGTGTAGTAGTGGGGATGTTTGGTTGCAGGGTCAGCCCAGAAGGTGTACACACTGTTGTCCTGTAGTAGTGAGGATGTTTGGTTGCAGGGTCAGCCTAGAAGTTGTACACCCTGTTGTCGTGTAGTAGTGAGGATGGTTGGTTGCAGGGGTCAGCCCAGAAGGTGTACACCCTGTTGTCGTGTAGTAGTGGGGATGTTTGGTTGAAGGGTCAGCCGAGAAGGTGTACACCCTGTTGTCGTGTAGTAGTGAGGATGTTTGGTTGCAGGGTCAGCCCAGAAGGTGTACACCCTGTTGTCGTGTAGAAGTGAGGATGTCTGATTGCAGGGTCAGCCCAGAAGGTGTACACCCTGTTGTCGTGTAGTAGTGAGGATGTTTGGTTGCAGGGTCAGCCCAGAAGGTGTACACCCTGTTGTCGTGTAGTAGTGAGGATGTTTGGTTGCAGGATGAGCCCAGAAGGTGTACACCCTGTTGTCGTGTAGTAGTGAGGATGTTTGGTTGCAGGGTCAGCCAAAAGGTGTACACCCTGTTGTCGTGTAGTAGTCAGGATGTTTGGTTGCAGGGTCAGCCCAGAAGGTGTACATCCTGTTGTCCTGTAGTAGTGAGGATGTTTGGTTGCAGGGTCAGCCCAGAAGGTGTACACCCTGTTGTCGTGTAGTAGTGAGGATGTTTGGTTGAAGGGTCAGCCCAGAAGGTGTACACCCTGTTGTCGTGTAGTAGTGAGGATGTTTGATTGCAGGGTCAGCCCAGAAGGTGTACACCCTGTTGTCGTGTAGTAGTGGGGATGTTGGTTGCAGGGTCAGCCCAGAAGGTGTGCACCCTGTTGTCCTGTAGTAGTGGGGATGTTTGGTTGCAGGGTCAGCCCAGAAGGTGTACGCCCTGTTGTCGTGTAGTAGTGAGGGTGTTTGGTTGCAGGGTCAGCCCTGAAGGTGTACACCCTGTTGTCGTGTAGTAGTGAGGATGTTTGGTTGCAGGGTCAGCCCAGAAGGCGTACACCCTGTTGTCGTGTAGAAGTGAGGATGTCTCATTGCAGGGTCAACCCAGAAGGCGTACACCCTGTTGTCGTGTAGTAGTGAGGATGTTTGGTTGCAGGGTCAGCCCAGAAGGTGTGCACCCTGTTGTCGTGTAATAGTGAGGATGTCTCATTGCAGGGTCAACCCAGAAGGTGTAAGCCCTGTTGTCGTGTAGTAGTGGGGATGTTTGGTTGCAGGGTCAGCCCAGAAGGTGTACACACTGTTGTCCTGTAGGAGTGAGGATGTTTGGTTGCAGGGTCAGCCCAGAAGTTGTACACCCTGTTGTCGTGTAGTAGTGAGGATGGTTGGTTGCAGGGGTCAGCCCAGAAGGTGTACACCCTGTTGTGGTGTAGTAGTGAGGATGTTTGGTTGAAGGGTTAGCCCAGAAGGTGTACACCCTGTTGTCGTGTAGTAGTGAGGATGTTTGGTTGCAGGGTCAGCCCAGAAGGTGTACACCCTGTTGTCGTGTAGAAGTGAGGATGTCTGATTGCAGGGTCAGCCCAGAAGGTGTACACCCTGTTGTCGTGTAGTAGTGAGGATGTTTGGTTGCAGGGTCAGCCCAGAAGGTGTACACCCTGTTGTCGTGTAGTAGTGAGGATGTTTGGTTGCAGGGTCAGCCCAGAAGGTGTACATCCTGTTGTCCTGTTGTAGTGAGGATGTTTGATTGCAGGGTCAGCCCAGAAGGTGTACATCCTATTGTCCTGTAGTAGTGAGGATGTTTGATTGCAGGGTCATCCCAGAAGGTGTACACCCTGTTGTCGTGTAGTAGTGAGGATGTTTGATTGCAGGGTCATGCCAGAAGGTGTACATCCTGTTGTCCTGTTGTAGTGAGGATGTCTGATTGCAGGGTCATCCTAGAAGGTGTACACCCTGTTGTCGTGTAGTAGTGAGGATGTTTGATTGCAGGGTCAGCCCAGAAGGTGTACACCCTGTTGTCGTGTAGTAGTGAGGATGTTTGGTTGCAGGGTCAGCCCAGAAGGTGTACACCCTGTTGTCGTGTTAGTGAGGATGTTTGGTTGCAGGGTCAGCCCAGAAGGTGTACACCCTGTTGTCGTGTAGTAGTGAGGATGTCTGATTGCAGGGTCAGCCCAGAAGGTGTACACCCTGTTGTCGTGTAGTAGTGAGGATGTCTGATTGGGGTCAGCCCAGGGGTGTACACCCTGTTGTCGTGTAGTAGTGAGGATGTCTGATTGCAGGGTCAGCCCAGAAGTTGTACACCCTGTTGTCGTGTAGTAGTGAGGATGTTTGGTTGCAGGGTCAGCCCAGAAGGTGTACACCCTGTTGTCGTGTAGTAGTGAGGATGTCTGATTGCAGGGTCAGCCCAGAAGGTGTACACCCTGTTGTCGTGTAGTAGTGAGGATGTTTGGTTGCAGGGTCAGCCCAGAAGGTGTACACCCTGTTGTCCTGTAGTACTGGCGGTCCCGAGGGGAACACGGACAGGAGCTACCTGACCCTCATCTCCAACTCTGGACTCATGTTCGGCCTCATCAACATCGTCGGTACGTCAGTCTCTCACACATGTTAAACATATAATAAAGTATACCAGCAAAGTTACCCTACCCATGTTAAAATTTAACCTTCTGTAACCTTCCCATTTTATAATATCACCCTGCTTTTGTTATTCAACCTTCCCATGTTATAATATCACCCTTCTGTTGTTATTCAACCTTCCCATGTTATAATATCACCCTTCTGTTGTTATTCAACCTTCCCATGTTATGAAATCACCCTTCTGTTGTACCCTTCTGTTGTTATGTAACCTTCCCATGTTACAATATTCCTCTCCTGTTGTAACTTAGCGTGTCAGACAATGATGTGTCAATGTTTTAGGTAACTTCGGCACCGTGTTCGTGGACCAGTCCTACTGGCAGAGCAGTGTGGCTGCTAAACCCAAGCAAGGCGTGGTTGGATTTCTATGCGGTGGTCTGGCCTGGTTTGCCGTGCCCTTCTCCCTAGCTACAACCATGGGCCTCGCCTACATCGCCCTCAGCACTCACCAAGGGGCACCACTGCTCAGCTCGGATGAAGTGAACGCTGGTGGGTAGAAGTGTCCATACACACATACAGAGTGTTCCACCATACACACATACACAAATATGCATGATGAGACACACATATGCAGTGTTTTACCAAACACACATGTATATTGTTTTACCATGCAGACATATGCAGTGTTTTACCATATACACATATACAGTGTTTTACTACGTGTACACGCGTACAGTGTCACACCAGTTTGGAGTAATATGTCTTGATGTCGGGTGTGTGTTGCAGGTCTCGTGCCTCCAGTTGTTGCCCAGAAGCTGTTCGGACGCAAAGGGGAGATCTTGATGTTGCTGATGGTGCTGATGGCCATCACGTCCACAGGGTCGTCCGAGGTCATGGCGGTCACTTCAATCATGGTGTACGACATATACGGACTGTATCTCAAGGTGAGACTGTATGTCAAGGTGAGACTGTATGTCAAGGTGAGACTGTATCTCAAGGTGAGACTGTATGTCAAGGTGAGACTGTATGTCAAGGTGAGACTGTATGTCAAAGTGAGACGGTATGTCAAGGTGAGACTGTATGTCAAGGTGAGACTGTATGTCAAGGTGAGACTGTATGTCAAAGTCAGTCTGTATGTCAAAGTGAAGCTGTATGTCAAGGTCAATCTATATGTCTTGGTGTGTCTATCACAATGAGTCTGTAAGCCTGGCTGAATCAGGATGGGTGTTCATGTCAACGGTATCTGTCAAGACATTTTATATGTGAAGGACAGCCTATATGTCAAAGGTGTGAGTGACTTTAGTTTTACGCCGCTTTTAGCAATATTCCAGTAATATCACGGCGGATGACACCAGAAATGGGCTTCACACATTGTACCCATGAGGGGATTCAAACCCGGGTCTTCGGCGTGACGAGCGAAAGCTTTAACCACTAGGTTACCCCACCTCCACATATGTCAAAGGAGGTATGTCACGACAATTATGTATGTCATGATGAGAGTATATGCACTGTTGGTATGTGTGTCACGACAATTATGTGTGTCATGGTGAGAGTATATGCTACCGTCGGTATGTGTAAGTCAAGGCGATTATGTTGATGCCAATGTGAAGGATAGGCTGTATTTCAAGGTGTTTGACAAATGTCTATGCTTTAGTGAATATCCCTCGACGTTGAGTTCACAAACCAAAGCATGTGTGTACCTCAGGTGATTATGTAAGTATTTTAGGAGCGCTTCTGGTTAGGCTGATGTTTGGAAGCTTGTACTGCACTGTGGTGTTGTTTCCAGCCGTACAGGGTTATGGTTTGTGTTCGTTATGTAGGATAGATGTGATGATATAGTAGGAGCGCTTCTGCTTAAGCTGATGTTTGGAAGCTTGTACTGCACCGTTGAGTTAGATGTTATGTTATTTTAGGAGCACTTCTGCTTAAGCTGATGTTTGGAAGCTTGTACTGCACCGTTAAGTTAGATGTGATGTTATTTTAGGAGCGCTTCTGCTTAAGCTGATGTTTGGAAGCTTGTACTGCACCGTTGAGTTAGATGTGATGTTATTTTAGGAGCGCTTCTGCTTAAGCTGATGTTTGGAAGCTTGTCCTGCACCGTTGAGTTAGATGTGATGTTATTTTAGGAGCGCTTCTGCTTAAGCTGATGTTTGGAAGCTTGTCCTGCACCGTTAAGTTAGATGTGATGTTATAGTAGGAGCGCTTCTGCTTAAGCTGATGTTTGGAAGCTTGTACTGCACCGTTGAGTTAGAGTTAGATGTGATGTTATTTTAGGAGCGCTTCTGCTTAAGCTGATGTTTGGAAGCTTGTACTGCACCGTTTAAGTTAGATGTGATGTTATTTTAGGAGCGCTTCTGCTTAAGCTGATGTTTGGAAGCTTGTACTGCACCGTTAAGTTAGATGTGATGTTATTTTAGGAGCGCTTCTGCTTAAGCTGATGTTTGGAAGCTTGTACTGCACCGTTAAGTTAGATGTGATGTTATTTTAGGAGCGCTTCTGCTTAAGCTGATGTTTGGAAGCTTGTACTGCACCGTTAAGTTAGATGTGATGTTATTTTAGGAGCGCTTCTGCTTAAGCTGATGTTTGGAAGCTTGTACTGCACCGTTAAGTTAGATGTGATGTTATTTTAGGAGCGCTTCTGCTTAAGCTGATGTTTGGAAGCTTGTACTGCACCGTTAAGTTAGATGTGATGTTATTTTAGGAGCGCTTCTGCTTAAGCTGATGTTTGGAAGCTTGTACTGCACCGTTAAGTTAGATGTGATGTTATTTTAGGAGCGCTTCTGCTTAAGCTGATGTTTGGAAGCTTGTACTGCACCGTTAAGTTAGATGTGATGTTATTTTAGGAGCGCTTCTGCTTAAGCTGATGTTTGGAAGCTTGTACTGCACCGTTAAGTTAGATGTGATGTTTTATTTTAGGAGCGCTTCTGCTTAAGCTGATGTTTGGAAGCTTGTACTGCACCGTTAAGTTAGATGTGATGTTATTTTAGGAGCGCTTCTGCTTAAGGCTGATGTTTGGAAGCTTGTACTGCACCGTTAAGTTAGATGTGATGTTATTTTAGGAGCGCTTCTGCTTAAGCTGATGTTTGGAAGCTTGTACTGCGCCGTTAAGTTAGATGTGATGTTATTTTAGGAGCGCTTCTGCTTAAGCTGATGTTTGGAAGCTTGTACTGCACCGTTAAGTTAGATGTGATGTTATTTTAGGAGCGCTTCTGCTTAAGCTGATGTTTGGAAGCTTGTACTGCACCGTTAAGTTAGATGTGATGTTATTTTAGGAGCGCTTCTGCTTAAGCTGATGTTTGGAAGCTTGTACTGCACCGTTAAGTTAGATGTGATGTTATTTTAGGAGCGCTTCTGCTTAAGCTGATGTTTGGAAGCTTGTACTGCACCGTTAAGTTAGATGTGATGTTATTTTAGGAGCGCTTCTGCTTAAGCTGATGTTTGGAAGCTTGTACTGCGCCGTTAAGTTAGATGTGATGTTATTTTAGGAGCGCTTCTGCTTAAGCTGATGTTTGGAAGCTTGTACTGCACCGTTAAGTTAGATGTGATGTTATTTTAGGAGCGCTTCTGCTTAAGCTGATGTTTGGAAGCTTGTACTGCACCGTTAAGTTAGATGTGATGATATTTTAGGAGCGCTTCTGCTTAAGCTGATGTTTGGAAGCTTGTACTGCACCGTTAAGTTAGATGTGATGTTATTTTAGGAGCGCTTCTGCTTAAGCTGATGTTTGGAAGCTTGTACTGCACCGTTGAGTTAGATCTGATGTTATTTTAGGAGCGCTTCTGCTTAAGCTGATGTTTGGAAGCTTGTACTGCACCGTTAAGTTAGATCTGATGTTATTTTAGGAGCGCTTCTGCTTAAGCTGATGTTTGGAAGCTTGTACTGCACCGTTGAGTTAGATGTGATGTTATAGTAGGAGCGCTTCTGCTTAAGCTGATGTTTGGAAGCTTGTACTGCACCGTTAAGTTAGATCTGATGATATTTTAGGAGCGCTTCTGCTTAAGCTGATGTTTGGAAGCTTGTACTGCACCGTTAAGTTAGATCTGATGATATTTTAGGAGCGCTTCTGCTTAAGCTGATGTTTGGAAGCTTGTACTGCACCGTTAAGTTAGATGTGATGATATTTTAGGAGCGCTTCTGCTTAAGCTGATGTTTGGAAGCTTGTACTGCACCGTTAAGTTAGATGTGATGTTATTTTAGGAGCGCTTCTGCTTAAGCTGATGTTTGGAAGCTTGTACTGCACCGTTGAGTTAGATGTGATGTTATTTTAGGAGCGCTTCTGCTTAAGCTGATGTTTGGAAGCTTGTACTGCACCGTTAAGTTAGATCTGATGATATTTTAGAGCGCTTCTGCTTAAGCTGATGTTTGGAAGCTTGTACTGCACCGTTGAGTTAGATGTGATGTTATTTTAGGAGCGCTTCTGCTTAAGCTGATGTTTGGAAGCTTGTACTGCACCGTTAAGTTAGATCTGATGATATTTTAGGAGCGCTTCTGCTTAAGCTGATGTTTGGAAGCTTGTACTGCACCGTTAAGTTAGATCTGATGATATTTTAGGAGCGCTTCTGCTTAAGCTGATGTTTGGAAGCTTGTACTGCACCGTTAAGTTAGATGTGATGTTATTTTAGGAGCGCTTCTGCTTAAGCTGATGTTTGGAAGCTTGTACTGCACCGTTAAGTTAGATGTGATGTTATTTTAGGAGCGCTTCTGCTTAAGCTGATGTTTGGAAGCTTGTACTGCACCGTTAAGTTAGATGTGATGTTATTTTAGGAGCGCTTCAGATTAAGCTGATGTTTGGAAGCTTGTACTGCACCGTTAAGTTAGATGTGATGTTATTTTAGCAGCGCTTCTGCTTAAGCTGATGTTTGGAAGCTTGTACTGCACCGTTGAGTTAGATCTGATGATATTTTAGGAGCGCTTCTGCTTAAGCTGATGTTTGGAAGCTTGTACTGCACCGTTAAGTTAGATGTGATGTTATTTTAGGAGCGCTTCTGCTTAAGCTGATGTTTGGAAGCTTGTACTGCACCGTTAAGTTAGATGTGATGTTATTTTAGGAGCGCTTCTGCTTAAGCTGATGTTTGGAAGCTTGTACTGCACCGTTAAGTTAGATGTGATGTTATTTTAGGAGCGCTTCAGATTAAGCTGATGTTTGGAAGCTTGTACTGCACCGTTAAGTTAGATGTGATGTTATTTTAGCAGCGCTTCTGCTTAAGCTGATGTTTGGAAGCTTGTACTGCACCGTTGAGTTAGATCTGATGATATTTTAGAGCGCTTCTGCTTAAGCTGATGTTTGGAAGCTTGTACTGCACCGTTAAGTTAGATGTGATGTTATTTTAGCAGCGCTTCTGCTTGCTGATGTTTGGAAGCTTGTACTGCACCGTTAAGTTAGATGTGATGTTATTTTAGGAGCGCTTCTGCTTAAGCTGATGTTTGGAAGCTTGTACTGCACCGTTGAGTTAGATGTGATGTTATTTTAGCAGCGCTTCTGCTTAAGCTGATGTTTGGAAGCTTGTACTGCACCGTTGAGTTAGATCTGTTGATATTTTAGGAGCGCTTCTGCTTAAGCTGATGTTTGGAAGCTTGTACTGCACCGTTGAGTTAGATGTGATGTTATTTTAGGAGCGCTTCTGCTTAAGCTGATGTTTGGAAGCTTGTACTGCACCGTTAAGTTAGATCTGATGATATTTTAGGAGCGCTTCTGCTTAAGCTGATGTTTGGAAGCTTGTACTGCACCGTTAAGTTAGATGTGATGTTATTTTAGGAGCGCTTCTGCTTAAGCTGATGTTTGGAAGCTTGTACTGCACCGTTGAGTTACATGTGATGTTATTTTAGGAGCTTTTCTGCTTAAGCTGATGTTTGGAAGCTTGTACTGCACCGTTAAGTTAGATGTGATGTTATTTTAGGAGCGCTTCTGCTTAAGCTGATGGTTGGAAGCTTGTACTGCACCGTTGAGTTACATGTGATGTTATTTTAGGAGCGCTTCTGCTTAAGCTGATGTTTGGAAGCTTGTACTGCACCGTTAAGTTAGATGTGATGATATAGTAGGAGCGCTTCTGCTTAAGCTGATGTTTGGAAGCTTGTACTGCACCGTTAAGTTAGATCTGATGATATTTTAGGAGCGCTTCTGCTTAAGCTGATGTTTGGAAGCTTGTACTGCAACCGTTAAGTTAGATGTGATGTTATTTTAGGAGCGCTTCTGCTTAAGCTGATGTTTGGAAGCTTGTACTGCACCGTTAAGTTAGATCTGATGATATTTTAGGAGCGCTTCTGCTTAAGCTGATGTTTGGAAGCTTGTACTGCACCGTTAAGTTAGATGTGATGTTATTTTAGGAGCGCTTCTGCTTAAGCTGATGTTTGGAAGCTTGTACTGCACCGTTAAGTTAGATCTGATGATATTTTAGGAGCGCTTCTGCTTAAGCTGATGTTTGGAAGCTTGTACTGCACCGTTAAGTTAGATCTGATGATATTTTAGGAGCGCTTCTGCTTAAGCTGATGTTTGGAAGCTTGTACTGCACCGTTGAGTTACATGTGATGTTATTTTAGGAGCGCTTCTGCTTAAGCTGATGTTTGGAAGCTTGTACTGCACCGTTAAGTTAGATCTAATGTTATTTTAGGAGCGCTTCTGCTTAAGCTGATGTTTGGAAGCTTGTACTGCACCGTTGAGTTACATGTGATGTTATTTTAGGAGCGCTTCAGATTAAGCTGATGTTTGGAAGCTTGTACTGCACCGTTAAGTTAGATGTGATGTTATTTTAGGAGTGCTTCAGATTAAGCTGATGTTTGGAAGCTTGTACTGCACCGTTAAGTTAGATGTGATGTTATTTTAGGAGCGCTTCTGCTTGCTGATGTTTGGAAGCTTGTACTGCACCGTTGAGTTACATGTGATGTTATTTTAGGAGCGCTTCAGATTAAGCTGATGTTTGGAAGCTTGTACTGCACCGTTGAGTTAGATGTGATGTTATTTTAGGAGCGCTTCTGCTTAAGCTGATGTTTGGAAGCTCGTACTGCACCGTTAAGTTAGATGTGATGTTATTTTAGGAGCGCTTCAGATTAAGCTGATGTTTGGAAGCTTGTACTGCACCGTTAAGTTAGATGTGATGTTATTTTAGGAGCGCTTCAGATTAAGCTGATGTTTGGAAGCTTGTCCTGCACTGTTAAGTTAGATTTTAGGAGCTTTTCTCGCCAAACTGATGTTTGTCCTGTACCGTGGTGTTGCTTTCAGCCCTACAGACTGATGACAGACACCAACAGCTGCATCTTGTGCGGGAAGGGGCGTGGTCGGATGGCGAACCCCAGGGACAAGTGCGTGTGTGAGAGCATGACGTACTGCTCAGCATGTCACAGTGACGACAAGTAAGTGGGACCATACGATAAGGTATCTGTGTTCAAAGGGAGGGGCACCTGTGTCAGTAGAGAGGTGGGTACATCGGTGTGTAGAGGTGTGTACTTTTGTGTATAGGGCGATGTGTACTTCTGTGTGTAGAGAGATGGGTACTTCTGGGTATAGAGATACTTCTGTGTGTAGAGATGTGGGTACTTCTGTGTTTTGAGATACTTCTGTGTGTAGAGATGTGGGTACTTCTGTGTTTTGAGATACTTCTGTGTGTAGAGAGGTGGGTACTTCTGTGTTTTGAGGTACTTCTGTGTGTAGAGATTTGGGTACTTCTGTGTTTTGAGATACTTCTCTTTGTAGAGATTTAGGTACTTCTGTGTGTAGAGAGGTGGGTACTTCTGTGTGTAGAGATGTGGGTACTTCTGTGTGTAGAGAAATGAATACTTCTGTGTGTAGAGAGGTGGGTACTTCTGTGTGTAGAGATGTGGGTACTTCTGTGTGTAGAGAAATGAGTACTTATGTGTGTAGAGATGTGGGTACTTCTGTGTGTAGAGAGGTGGGTACTTCTGTGTGTAGAGATGTGGGTACTTCTGTGTGTAGAGAAATGAGTGCTTCTGTGTATAGAGAGGTGGGTACTTCTGTTTATAAAGAGGTGGGTACTTCTGTGTATAGAAATACTTCTGTGTATAATGGGTAGGTACGTCCATTTGTCGAGAGGTGGGTACATCTGTCTGTAGTGAGGTGGGTACATCTGTATGTAGAGAGGTGGGTACTTCTTTTTATAGAGGGTTGGGTGCTTGTGTGTGTAGAAAAAGGCCACAGCACATGGGAGATGCATTTCACTGTTTGATGCTCTCTGACATATTACCAGTCAAAGCGTTATGTACTATGACTGGTAACACTACTATGGGGTGGTTCATATATATTTGTATTTTCAGAGCCCGGTAGGTGGGGTAGTTCATATCTATTTGTATTTTCAGAGCCCGGGAGCTGTGTCGGCGCGCCATCAAACCGGAGTACAAGTGCACTGTGCACGGATCCTATCGGGTGTACAACGACCTGCTGCTCCGTCTCAAGAGTTGGTGTCTCGTGTGGACAACGTTCAGCATCCTGCCTCTAACAGTCATCCTGTCACTCATGCAGGTCAGTGCTTCCAGCAGTCATCCTGTCACTCATGCAGGTCAGTGCTTCCCTTATCCTTCCAGCAGTCATCCTGTCACTCATGCACGTCAGTGCCTTCCCTGTCCTTCCAGCAGTCATCCTGTCACTCATGCAGGTCAGTGCGTCGCTTATCCTTCCAGCAGTCATCCTGTCACTCATGCAGGTCAGTGCGTCCCCTGTCCTTCCAGCAGTCATCCTGTCACTCATGCACGTCAGTGCCTTCCCTGTCCTTCCAGCAGTCATCCTGTCACTCATGCAGGTCAGTGCCTTCCCTGTCCTTCCAGCAGTCACCCTGTCACTCATGCAGGTCAGTGCTTCCAGCAGTCATCCTGTCACTCATGCAGGTCAGTGCGTCCCTTATCCTTCCAGCAGTCATCCTGTCACTCATGCAGGTCAGTGCGTCCCCTGTCCTTCCAGCAGTCATCCTGTCACTCATGCAGGTCAGTGCGTCCCTTATCCTTCCAGCAGTCATCCTGTCACTCATGCAGGTCAGTGCCTTCCCTGTCCTTCCAGCAGTCATCCTGTCACTCATGCAGGTCAGGGCGTCCCTTATCCTTCCAGCAGTCATCCTGTCACTCATGCAGGTCAGTGCCTTCCCTGTCCTTCCAGCAGTCATCCTGTCACTCATGCAGGTTAGTGCCTTCCCTGTCCTTCCAGCAGTCATCCTATCACGCATGCACGTCAGTGCTTCTCTTATCCTTCCAGCAGTCATCCTGTCACTCATGCAGGTCAGTGCTTCCAGCAGTCATCCTATCACTCATGCAGGTCAGTGCGTCTCTTATCCTTCCAGCAGTCATCCTGTCACTCATGCAGGTCAGTGCCTTCCCTGTCCTTCCAGCAGTCATCCTGTCACTCATACACGTCAGTGGGTCCCTTATCTTTCCAGCAGTCATCCTGTCACTCATGCAGGTCAGTGTCTTCCCTGTCCTTCCAGCAGTCATCCTGTCACTCATACACGTCAGTGGGTCCCTTATCTTTCCAGCAGTCATCCTGTCACTCATGCAGGTCAGTGCTTCCAGCAGTCATCCTATCACTCATGCAGGTCAGTGCGTCTCTTATCCTTCCAGCAGTCATCCTGTCACTCATGCAGGTCAGTGCCTTCCCTGTCCTTCCAGCAGTCATCCTGTCACTCACACGTCAGTGGGTCCCTTATCTTTCAGCAGTCATCCTGTCACTCATGCAGGTCAGTGCTTCCAGCAGTCATCCTATCACTCATGCAGGTCAGTGCGTCTCTTATCCTTCCAGCAGTCATCCTGTCACTCATGCAGGTCAGTGCCTTCCCTGTCCTTCCAGCAGTCATCCTATCACTCATACACGTCAGTGGGTCCCTTATCTTTCCAGCAGTCATCCTGTCACTCATGCAGGTCAGTGTCTTCCCTGTCCTTCCAGCAGTCATCCTGTCACTCATACACGTCAGTGGGTCCCTTATCTTTCCAGCAGTCATCCTGTCACTCATGCAGGTCAGTGCTTCCAGCAGTCATCCTATCACTCATGCAGGTCAGTGCGTCTCTTATCCTTCCAGCAGTCATCCTGTCACTCATGCAGGTCAGTGCCTTCCCTGTCCTTCCAGCAGTCATCCTGTCACTCATACACGTCAGTGGGTCCTTATCTTTCCAGCAGTCATCCTGTCACTCATGCAGGTCAGTGCTTCCAGCAGTCATCCTATCACTCATGCAGGTCAGTGCGTCTCTTATCCTTCCAGCAGTCATCCTGTCACTCATGCAGGTCAGTGTCTTCCCTGTCCTTCCAGCAGTCATCCTGTCACTCATACACGTCAGTGGGTCCCTTATCTTTCCAGCAGTCATCCTGTCACTCATGCAGGTCAGTGCTTCCAGCAGTCATCCTATCACTCATGCAGGTCAGTGCGTCTCTTATCCTTCCAGCAGTCATCCTGTCACTCATGCAGGTCAGTGCCTTCCCTGTCCTTCCAGCAGTCATCCTGTCACTCATACACGTCAGTGGGTCCCTTATCTTTCCAGCAGTCATCCTGTCACTCATGCAGGTCAGTGCTTCCCCTGTCCTTCCAGCAGTCATCCTGTCACTCATGCAGGTCAGTGTCTTCCCTGTCCTTCCAGCAGTCATCCTGTCACTCATGGAGGTCAGTGTCTTCCCTGTCCTTCCAGCAGTCATCCTGTCACTCATACACGTCAGTGTCTTCCCTGTCCTTCCAGCAGTCATCCTGTCACTCATGCAGGTCAGTGCCTTCCCTGTCCTTCCAGCAGTCATCCTGTCACTCATACACGTCAGTGGGTCCCTTATCTTTCCAGCAGTCATCCTGTCACTCATGCAGGTCAGTGTCTTCCCTGTCCTTCCAGCAGTCATCCTGTCACTCATACACGTCAGTGGGTCCCTTATCTTTCCAGCAGTCATCCTGTCACTCATGCAGGTCAGTGCTTCCCCTGTCCTTCCAGCAGTCATCCTGTCACTCATGCAGGTCAGTGTCTTCCCTGTCCTTCCAGCAGTCATCCTGTCACTCATACACGTCAGTGTCTTCCCTGTCCTTCCAGCAGTCATCCTGTCACTCATGCAGGTCAGTGCCTTCCCTGTCCTTCCAGCAGTCATCCTGTCACTCATACACGTCAGTGGGTCCCTTATCTTTCCAGCAGTCATCCTGTCACTCATGCAGGTCAGTGTCTTCCCTGTCCTTCCAGCAGTCATCCTGTCACTCATACACGTCAGTGGGTCCCTTATCTTTCCAGCAGTCATCCTGTCACTCATGCAGGTCAGTGCTTCCCCTGTCCTTCCAGCAGTCATCCTGTCACTCATGCAGGTCAGTGTCTTCCCTGTCCTTCCAGCAGTCAACCTGTCACTCATGCAGGTCAGTGCTTCCCTTGTGCTTCCAGCATGTGACCCAACCTTCCGTCTCTAACGTTTCAGCTTGTCCTCAACATCTTACTCTGTTTCAGCTTAGCTTGGGCTGGGTCTACCTGTTCATGGGGATTCTGATTGGTTCTGCCGTAATTCCAATCACGTTATCCATGTTCTGGGAGCGCCTGACACCAGTCGCTATGATGGCTGGGAGCATTGGAGGAGCAGTAATGGCTATCATTGTCTGGTTAAGCGTTGCCTCAACCTACCCTGGGGGCCTCGGGGAATTCTTGCTCAATACAGGTAAAAACCGCTGTCGATACAGGCACACATACCCCGCACAATACAGGTTAAACCGCTGTCGATACAGGCACACATACCCCGCACACTTGTAACTCTCATACTTGTATAACACAGTCACACCAACGCCACCGCCGACACAAAGTATCTTGTAATTCTGAGACATATTGAATACTGTCACGCCAGTATATTGCTGTGACACCTGTACAACACTGCCGAACCTTTACAACACTGCTACATCTGTACTAAACTGAGACACATCTATAACATTGAGACACGTGTATAACATTTACACACGTGTATAACACTGACACGTGTATAACACTGAGACATGTATAACACTGAGACACGTGTATAACTCTGAGACACGTGTATAACACTGAGACACGTATATAACGTATAACACTGAGACACGTGTATAACACGGAGACGTGTATAACGTATAACACTGAGACACGTGCATAACACTGAGACACGTGTATAACGTATAACACTGAGACACGTGTATAACGTATAACACTGAGACACGTGTTTAACACTGAGACACATGTATAACACTGAGACACGTGTATAACACTGAGACAAGTGTATAACGTATAACACTGAGACAGGTGTATAACACTGAAACACGAGTATTACGTATAACACTGACACACGTGTATAACACTGAGACACATGTATAACACTGACACACGTGTATAACACTGAGACACGTGTATAACACCGAGACACGTGTATAACACTGAACCACGTGTATAACACTGAGACACGTGTATAACGTATAACACTGAAACACGTGTATAACACCGAGACATGTGTATAACACCGAGACACGTGTATAAGACTGAGATACGTGTATGACACTGAGATACGTGTATAACACTGAGACACGTGTATAACACCGAGACATGTGTATAACACCGAGACACGTGTATAAGACTGAGATACGTGTATGACACTGAGATACGTGTATAACACTGAGACACATGTATAACACCGAGACACATGTATAACACTGACACACGTGTATAACACTGAGATACGTGTATAACACTGAGACACGTGTATAACACCGAGACACGTGTATAACACTGAAACACGTGTATAACACCGAGACACGTGTATAACACTGAGATACGTGTATAACACTGAGACACATGTATAACACTGACACACGTGTATAACACTGAGACACGTGTATAACACTGAGACACGTGTATAACACTGAGACACGTGTATAACACCGAGACACGTGTATAACACCGAGACACGTGTATAACACCGAGACACGTGTATAACACCGAAACACGTGTATAACACTGAGACACGTGTATAACACTGAGACACATGTATTACACTGAGACACATGTATAACACTGAGACACGTGTATAACACTGAGACACGTGTATAACGTATAACACTGAAACACGTGTATAACACTGCGGATACACTGAGACACGTGTATAACACAGAGACACGTGTATAACACTGAGACACATGAATAACACTGAGACACATGTATAACACTGAGACACATGTATAACACCGAGACACGTGTATAACACTGAGACACGTGTATAACACTGAGACACGTGTATAACGTATAACACTGAGACACGTGTATAACACTGAGACACGTGTATAACACTGAGACACGTGTATAACACCAAGACAAGTGTATAACACTGAGACACGTGTATAACACTGAGACACGTGTATAACACTGAGACACGTGTATAACGTAAAACACTGAGACACGTGTATAACACTGAGACACGTGTATAACACTGATCACGTGTAAAACACCGAGACACGTGTATAACACCGAGACACGTGTATAACACTGAGACACGTGTATAACACCGAGACACGTGTATAACACTGATCACGTGTATAACACCGAGACACGTGTATAACACTGAGACACGTGTATAACACTGAGACACGTGTATAACACCAAGACACATGTATAACACTGAGACACGTGTATAACACTGAGACACGTGTATAACGTATAACACTGAAACACGTGTATAACACTGAGACACGTGTATAACACTGAGACACGTGTATAACACCGAAGACACGTGTATAACACTGAGACACATATATGAAACACGTGTATGTATAACACTGATCACGTGTATAACACCGAGACACGTGTATAACACTGAGACACGTGTATAACACTGAGACACGTGTATAACACTGAGACACGTGTATAACGTATAACACTGAGACACGTGTATAACACTGAGACACGTGTATAACACTGAGACACGTGTATAACGTATAACACTGAGACACGTGTATAACACTGAGACACGTGTATAACACTGATCACGTGTATAACACCGAGACACGTGTATAACACCGAGACACGTGTATAACACTGAGACACGTGTATAACACTGAGACACGTGTATAACGTATAACACTGAGACACGTGTATAACACTGAGACACGTGTATAACACCAAGACACGTGTATAACACTGAGACACGTGTATAACACTGAGACACGTGTATAACACCGAGACACGTGTATAACACTGAGACACATGTATAACACTGAGACACATGTATAACACTGAGACACATGTATAACGTATAACACTGAGACACGTGTATAACGTATAACACTGAAACACGTGTATAACAATGAGACACGTGTATAACATTGAGACACATGTATAACACTGAGACACGTGTATAACACTGAGACACGTGTATAACACTGAGACACGTGTATAACACTGAGACACGTGTATAACGTATAACACTGAAACACGTGTATAACGTATAACACTGAAACTCGTGTATAACATTGAGACACATGTATAACACTGAGACACGTGTATAACTTTGAGACACGTGTATAACACTGAGACACGTGTATAACACTGAGACACGTGTATAACACTGAGACACATGTATAACACTGAGACACGTGTATAACACTGAGACACGTGTATATCACTGAGACACGTGTATAACGTATAACACTGAGGCACGTGTATAACGTATAACACTGAAACACGTGTATAACATTGAGACACATGTATAACACTGAGACACGTGTATAACACTGAGACACGTGTATAACACTGAGACACGTGTATAACACGTGTATAACACTGAGACACGTGTATAACACTGAGACACGTGTATAACACTGAGACACGTGTATAACGTATAACACTGAGACACGTGTATAACGTATAACACTGAAACACGTGTATAACATTGAGACACATGTATAACACTGAGACACGTGTATAACACTGAGACACGTGTATAACACTGAAACACGTGTATAACACTGAGACACATGTATAACACTGAGGCACGTGTATAACACTGAAACACATGCAGATTCCTGTGTCCAACCACTACACCTATACAAAACTGTATGCTTCAGGGAAGGAGTTGTCGATGTTGTGTGGCAACCTGACCGCTATCTTGTCAGGGGGCATAATCACAGTAGTGGTCAGCCTCGTCACCAATCGCAGCCAAGATCCCAGTACAGCGCGCGAGATCTGGGAGCAGACACGAGACGTTGACAACCCTCTAAGCCCCTGGACGGAGAAATACTCAACGTAAGTTGTCGATATTACAACGATATGACAAGCCGTAGACTAGATCACGTACTTTGTGTGTCCTCTGACAAATGTAGTGTGGCACGGCAGTCGCGACCGAAAGCTGCCTATCCGGATTCGACTCCATTTTTGTGAAATCTGCGATGGCTGACTTGGCTAGATTGCCGACTTTGTGTGCCTGCGATTATGGGTCTCACTCTGAAAGTGCGGGTTCGAATCCCGGATGAGACTCAACCAACAATACCAGAATATGCACTTTATTGAGAAAGTGTAATCCCCAATATAACATATGTTACACTGGATCTCTGTTTAAATGCATGGTGTATTCTATTTCCACAGTACATTTATATGTACTAGGTGTTTTTTTCAGGAAGATAACTTGAAACTTCATATTGTCAGCATTTCTTTAGTTTTCCATCATTACATGTTATCTGTATGAATCTGCATAGGTCTGAAGTTGGGTGTCACTTTCTTAATCCAAATTGATGGAGCAGTTGGACATCAGTTGTCTGGGATATACGTGAACTGGAAACAAACCAACAATATCAGCAGCACAAACAAATGTCAACATAACTGCCTTATCAGTTCACAAGTCGAGAACAGTTGTTTGATAATAATCACCATTATTCCCGAACCCTCACCCGACGTGACAAAGCGATTTGCCACCTGATGCCCTCAGCAGTGAGCCGAACACTCTGAAGGAATCCAATCTGCTTCCTAGTTTATTCTCACAGTAAGAACATACTCCGACACGTCGGGTCCCCCCAAATAAAGTTGACATCCACAAATCATCGCATTTATGTGTATCACTTCCAAATGCCGCTCAAAGACAAGACCCCTGTCAGATATTATAGAAACTATGGTGACGGTTTCTGATCCTCCTTAACAGTGATCTCAACCTGACCGGCGCTCACCAACTTGACAACCGTCCATCGCTGCAGGAGGTGGAGAAGACGTTCAAGATGGCGAAGTACTTCGCCAACATTGGCTCCGCGGTGTTCGCTCTTCTCTTGGTGGTTGTGTGGCCATGTATCATGATAGCTGTCGACATCATGTCATATGACCAGTTCTTCGGCTGGGTGAGACTGTAATCTGCTAATAATTCACCATGTTGTGTTAGTTCACCCTGTGGATGGGTGAGTCGGTACGCAGGTGCTAATACAACATTAGGATGGGTGAGTGAGACTGTACTCAGGTGTTAATTCACCATGCGGATGAGTGAGACTGTACTCTGGTGTTAATTCACCATGCGGATGGGTGAGACTGTATTCTGGTGTTAATTCACTATGCGGATGGGTGAGACTGTATTTTGGTATTAATTCACCATGCGAATGGGTGAGACTGTACTCTGGTGTTAATTCACTATGCGGATGGGTGAGACTGTATTTTGGTATTAATTCACCGGCGAATGGGTGAAACTGTACTCTGGTGAATGCGGACTGGTATTAATTCAGCATGTGGATGGTTGAGACTGTAATCTCATTAATCACCATGTGGATGGGTGAGACTGTATTCTTATATTAATTCACCATGTGGATGGGTGAGACTGTATTCTTATATCAATTCACCATGTGGATGGGTGAGACTGTATTCTTATATCAATTACCTGGATGGTGAGACTGTATTCTTAATTCACCATGTGGATGGATGTATTCTGGTGTTAATTCACCATGTGTGAGACTGTATTCTGGTGCTAATTCATCATTTGAATAGGTGAGACTGTATTCTGGTGTTAATGAACCATGTGGATGGATGAGAGAATACTGTGGTGTTAACTGAGATACCACTGACATATATACCCCTGTGTTGCCTCAAAGGGGATACATCACGTCCAGATAGCGATTTTACATTACAATCGATCGTTGTTGCAGGCCATGTTGTCGGAGGTGTGGGCGTTTGCCGCCATGATCCTTATCATCGTTTTCCCCGCCGTCAACGAAGCCTACGACATCTACAACGCTTTCCACAAGAAACAGAAGGTTGTCCCCGTCTCCAACTACGGGAAAACATCAACAAGCCTCCAACATGCCATCGTCAAACCAGAAACACGACACTTGCCCAAACTCAGCACGATATCTAACGGAAAGGACCATGACGACGTTATGGCAGATGCACCAGCCACAGAAACTAATGGTCACGTGGGGGCTGAGGATGGACCAATGGAACACGCGGTGGATGGAGACATGGACTCATCCAATCCTCGCTATCCAATGTTTTGATTTTCTGAGAGCTTCATTCGTAAAATATTTTGTACAAAGTCATGCCCCCAAACGAACTCTAAGTTTATGGTGACCATATAATCCATCTGGAGGCAGATAAAAGGCTGGCTATGTGTGTTTGTAAACAAGTCGATGGCCTCCGCATGGAGACGGAATGATTTTTGTGTGTGTATATATGTGAGTGCGTTTAGTTTTACGCCGCACTCAGCTGTGTGTATATAGAGGAGAATAAGGTAGAATGGTGTACCTGATTCGTCTCTCACAATTGTTAAAAGGGCATATCAAAGGCATGCCTGAACCTTCTCCCACAAGATAATACAAGGGCATGCCTGGACCTTCTCTCACAAGATAATACAAGGGCATGCCTGGACCTTCTCTCACAAGATAATACAAGGGCATGCCTGGACCTTCTCACACAAGATAATACAAGGGCATGCCTGGACCTTCTCTCACAAGATAATACAAGGGCATGCCTGGACCTTCTCTCACAAGATAATACAAGGGCATGCCTGGACCTTCTCTCACAAGATAATACAAGGGCATGCCTGGACCTTCTCTCACCTTCTCACAAGACAATTCACAAGGGCATGCCTGGACCTTCTCACAAGATAATACAAGGGCATGCCTGGACCTTCTCTCACAAGATAATACAAGGGCATGCCTGGACCTTCTCTCACAAGATAATACAAAGGCATGCCTGGACCTTCTCTCACAAGATAATACAAAGGCATGCCTGGACCTTCTCTCACAAAACTGTGTCCCGCAAAGGAACATCACTTGTGAAAAATGTTCTACAAATGAATGACACCCGTTTCCATGGCAGCGCGTTAAGATCCAAGTATCTACCCATCTGACGTAATATGCTGCAGTTATGAAGTCAAGGCTTGCCCTGTAATCGTCTATCAACAGTACGTCAACCATGTCGGTTATCTCCCCTTGCATATCACTTCCCCCCTAATGTTCATTGTTGACAAGGGTTCAGGAGATACTATGAAAAAGACATGTACATTCTTACACAGTAGTATCTGTCATACATCAACTACTAACCAACTACTGAATACCAGTCATCGAATAGTTGGCTTCGCGTTGTCGTTGTGGTTTGTACAATTCAAAGTACGTAAATAATGTTATTGACGCCCGCCACAGCTGAGGAGGGAGACAACCGCCGCATTGCAGTGGCTGACATGAACAGGTCTCAACATCTGATTAATGCAGAGACGAGTCTTAGTTTATTCTTTGACTGAAGTTAGTCACTTTACAGTTTGGAAATTTATTTCCTTTGGTGGCTGTTTCATCTAGATGTGTTTGTCATGGCTGTGGGCCAGTCGAGTCAAATGGATTTGAGTTTTATTAAGATTATACATTGGTTGACCAGTTAAGTACATAAAGTTTTTCCTATACAAAATGTTCACCATTCACCAAACATGGTAACCTGTTTATCTTTTATGTCATTCATAAATTCTGTTCATGAAATATATCTCAGACCAACATTCGCCCCCCAACTTGTTTTTACTTGTGTGTACGTCTCCAGGCAGGATTCCGCCAGACAGCAACAACAAGATACAGACTGTCAACTGTTTTAATGACACTTCCACAACAGGATATAGACTGTCAAATGTTTTAATGACACTTCCACAACAAGATATAGACTGTCAACTGTTTTAATGACACCGCCACAACAGGATATAGACTGTCAAATGTTTTAATGACACTTCCACAACAGGATATAGACTGTCAACTGTTTTAATGACACTTCCACAACAGGATATAGACTGTCAAATGTTTTAATGACACTTCCACAACAGGATATAGACTGTCAACTGTTTAAATGACACCCACAACAGGATATAGACTGTCAAATGTTTTAATGACACTTCCACAACAGGATATAGACTGTCAACTGTTTTTAATGACACTGCCACAACAGGATATAGACTGTCAACTGTTTTAATGACACTTCCACAACAGGATATAGACTGTCAACTGTTTTAATGACACTTCCACAACAGGATATAGACTGTCAACTGTTTTAATGACACTTCCACAACAGGATATAGACTGTCAACTGTTTTAATGACACTGCCACAACAGGATATAGACTGTCAACTGTTTTAATGACACTTCCACAACAGGATATAGACTGTCAACTGTTTTAAGGACACTTCCACAACAAGATATAGACTGTCAACTGTTTTAATGACACTTCCACAACAGGATATAGACTGTCAACTGTTTTAATGACACCGCCACAACAGGATATAGACTGTCAACTGTTTTAATGACACTGCCACAATAGGATATAGACTGTCAACTGTTTTAATGACACTTCCACAACAGGATATAGACTGTCAACTGTTTTAATGACACTGCCACAACAGGATATAGACTGTCAAATGTTTGAATGACATTTCCACAACAGGATATAGACTGTCAACTGTTTTAATGACACTTCCACAACAAGATATAGACTGTCAACTGTTTTAATGACGCTTCCACAACAGGATATAGACTGTCAAATGTTTTAATGACACTTCCACAACAGGATATAGACTGTCAACTGTTTTAATGACACTTCCACAACAGGATATAGACTGTCAACTGTTTTAATGACACTTCCACAACAAGATATAGACTGTCAACTGTTTTAATGACGCTTCCACAACAAGATATAGACTGTCAAATGTTTTAATGACACTTCCACAACAGGATATAGACTGTCAACTGTTTTAATGACACTGCCACAACAGGATATAGACTGTCAACTGTTTTAATGACACTTCCACAACAGGATATAGACTGTCAAATGTTTTAATGACACTTCCACAACAGGATATAGACTGTCAAATGTTTTAATGACACCGCCACAACAGGATATAGACTGTCAACTGTTTTAATGACACTTCCACAACAGGATATATAGACTGTCAACTGTTTTAATGACACTGCCACAACAGGATATAGACTGTCAACTGTTTTAATGACACTTCCACAACAGGATATAGACTGTCAAATGTTTTAATGACACTTCCACAACAGGATATAGACTGTCAACTGTTTTAATGACACTGCCACAACAAGATATAGACTGTCAACTGTTTTAATGACACTGCCACAACAGGATATAGACTGTCAAATGTTTTAATGACGCTCCACAACAGGATATAGACTGTCAAATGTTTTAATGACACTGCCACAACAGGATATAGACTGTCAACTGTTTTAATGACACTTCCACAACAAGATAGAGACTGTCAACTGTTTTAATGACACCGCCACAACAGGATATAGACTGTCAAATGTTTTAATGACACTGCCACAACAGGATATAGACTGTCAACTGTTTTAATGACACTTCCACAACAAGATATAGACTGTCAAATGTTTTAATGACACCGCCACAACAGGACAAACATGGGATGGGGCCCGTTCCTCAAAGCGATCGTAGTGCTACGAGAGTCGTAAGTGTATGTTAAAGCATGGCGGTTACGATCACCTCAGCGCTACGCTCGCTTTGTGGAACGGGACCCAGGAATTGTCAGAGCCTACACATACATAATGAATATACCGTTACCAATCATACACCAGGTTACAGCAATATGTCCCTCTATAACACCTGGGGATATTGTACTCAGTCTATAATGTCTGCTACATCACGTGGTGTGCAAGCTATTGCCGGTGTATATGACACGGATCACTCGATAACTGGCGTCACAAGATGTCACTTCTTCCCCACACGTTGACCTCAGCCAGGTCACGGCCTTGATATGGATAGCCTGACATGACCGCCCGATAGTACTTCGACAGTCGGTAGTATCTGAAATGTAAGGATCGAGTGGGTGAGTGAGTGAGTTGGTTTTACGTCGTTTGTGATCTTATGTTTCTAGCAACTCATTGAACGACTTGGCTACACGTGATCCCAAAATGGGCTCACTGTATATTTACAGGCCGCCCTTGCATGAAACCCGTTAAAGCAGCGTCAGTAACAAAATACTTCATATGACGGTGTCCTGCTACGGGTCGGTCCGGACATGCTTACTCTTTCCGAGAACACCTGGTGTCATTTTCAGTGACTCATTCATGTAATTGTCACAGCTATTTTAACTAAAAAGAAATAGTTTCTGGGGATATTCAAGACTGGGTATATTTTGCACTGGCGTTTTATATTTCCCTTCACTAACCCGCTTGGTGCGCTGATTTGGAAGGTCCAACCTTAAACTGATAGGCATGTCATATGCGCGATGATAGCTTATGTGTTACCATTACACTTGAAACTGACTGACTGAGTTTGGTTTTACGCCGCTTTTAGCAATATTCCAGCAACATCACGGCGGGGAACACCACAAATGGGCTTCACACATTGTACCCACGTGGGGATTCGAACCCGGGTCTTCGGCGTGACGAGCCAACCTTTCACCACTAGACTACCCACCGCCCTCTACACTTTGAAACAGTAAACCAGTACAGCCTTCGCCTATATCGGCAACGTTCACGCTGGTACATGGACAGTATATCTTTTCAGTTAGGTTTAAACATATATACTATCCCAAAAAAGAAAAGCAAAGGCGATTAGTATTTTACAAATCCATTAATTACCTATTGTGGTCAAACAATTGTCAAAATATATAACAAAGTGTTGATAACATGATTTCACACAATTGCACAAGTAAACAAATCGACTTTACCTAAAATGTTGATTTTGATGAGATTTCTTAAAAGGATTAAAAAAGGCATCGCCATAACGCAACAGAAATCACCTTCCATATGAAATTGTGCAGCAAATAGCATGCACTGTCTGGCTATAAAACAGACTACTTTCGGAAATCGGCATTCGTTTCAATGTCAAATCCACCACGCCACGTCTTGACGCTGCGACACGGAACATCGGCATTGAAAGAATACACGCTGGAGATTGCGTATCTTCTGTTGCCAGGCGTCTGAATGTTAGTCTGAGCACGATATAACAGCTTACAGCATGTTACAACCAAACATGTATAACAAATGACCGTCCCCGTACAGAATCAGACCCACTGCAGCCCAAGATCGGTACATCCTGGTACTACATTTGCGTGATCCTACTGCCACGGGTGAGAGCACAGCAGCAAGGGTGCCTGGACTTCGGGGGATGTCCGGTCAAACTGTACGGGACAGGTTGAAAGAGATTGGACTGAGAGCCATGAGACCCGACGTCGGGACCATCGCGCTCAACGTCTCCGTTATCTAAAATTATCCACTTGGTTGTATAGACATTTCCTTCTTCTAAACTGATGTAAAGCTTTACGTACTAAATTCTATTTGTGGACGAGTTATACATGTTTGAAAATACAACATTTTCGCAACAGATTTCTGGTCTCACCGTTTCTTTTTTTTGGATAGTATACATTCAGTCGGGGAACCAGACCCAAAGCGGGACGCTGGGCCGTCGCTTAAATCAATTCAAAATGAGAGTTATCGCCCTTTGTAACAAAACGCTTGCCCAATTGTCTGAGAGGGCTGTGGTCGTTCAGGTGGTAGACCAAGAGACTGTCAGGATATCCCT